TTTTATACAATGACAACAAGGTCTTTCAATTGAATATATCATAGTAACGGCTCAGTGAGTGGGTGTCAGTATGTATTTATTTTCTTTTGTTTTTGTTGCTTTGAGCAGAAAAGTGTTGAAACACTGGATCAGTATTGCAGGAGGAGACACACTTACTCAACAGAGACCACAACGGCGTTGAGCTCATCAGACACCATCCTGTTGATCTTATCATAAGACCCCTTCTCTAAGGAAATGCAAGAGGGATGAAGGAGAGTGGATAAGGGAAGTGAACAAACAATATGTTGTATTTGAATGAACCACTTCTTAGAAATATTACTGGAAGATATGCACAACAGGATAACACAAATCAAACAACAAAACTCCTCTTGTGGAAGATAGACGAATCATTGCCCTCTGATGCAGAAATACTTTAAGGCCAAATAAAACACATTGAATAAAAGAAGAGGTCTCTTATTGTGCTGCTCAGTCTTGCTTGTCTATAATATATCTAGAGTAAAATAGACGGTCCATAATCGAGATACTCACTCCCACTGCCTAATGCCCAGCCTCCTCCATGGAAGAACATCAGCCCTCTCCTCAGATGTCCCTCCCCTCCGGCAGGGGGCTCGTACAAGCGGACCGGGACGCCGGCAAAGGTGATGTCGCTGACTTTCACTCCAGGCGCGACCCCTCCGTCGGGCTCAGAACCAAGAATGCTCTCGAAACCCACTGTGCTCTGCCTGATAGACTTGATGTAGTGGTTGAAGCCGAGCCGGTCCGACCAATAGGCCTGAAAAGAAAAAGTGTATAACCTCAATTGGAGTTTAGGATGGACATGACAGATTCAAAACATTTGATGATGGTGGGCCCTGAAGACATCCTGAAATTGTGCTGAATGTATGAACGCAGGTGGACAATATTTTTCCCCCTGACTGTACCTGTACCAGAGTGAAATGTCGGCATGAAGTCGGGGTGAGCAAATGTGTGAATGCAGCAAAAGAGTCTGACACTACAATGACAGTTATTTTCTTTACATTAATGCTACGTTGTATTCGGACATACTCCTGAATATTTCCTGCTGTGTTCACAGATCCACTCATTCACCCCAACTCTGCTACATGCCGACATTGTACTGGGGGGGTGAGGGGGGGCGGCAGGAAAAATTCCATTGTTTGCGTTCACACACATGAAGCTCAACCAAAAAAAAAAGTCAAGAAATTATGAGTTTTGTGCATGTGTGAAAATACCACCAGACCCTCTGCACTCTGCACTGTGTCGTAACGATAAGTCATAGAACTTTTGACCTCAGACACACAAACATCTTAGACTGTATCCAAAGCTTGACAAAGGCCAGCAGACACAGCTGCTTGGCACAACGCAGCTTGATTGTGTAACAAGTTTCTTAAAAAGTTAATTTTAGCAATATGACAACATTTGACTTTTGAATTTTAGGTGGGTGTTTAGGATGATCTGCAGATTATTAGTACTGATCTATTACCTGCAGACCAGTCGTCTGTGATAGGACTTACTTACTGGTTTAGGACCTACATTCCAATATTTGAATAAGAAAGATACAAACTAATATTAAATATCCTGTACAAACAGAATGACCAGCTTTGGCAAACTGTTATAAACCATTAATGTGTGAACTCCCTCGGCCTATGTGGCTCAATACTCGTCACCTACAGCTGCTTTTTCCAAATGTAGAGCAAAGGTGAAAAGTTTCTCGTTCTCAGGGAAGCTCACAATAAACTCTCTAAATGCTGCTTTGTAACATGTTGGCATTTGAGGAAACAGAGGCACACTTTCAAAAGTGAACCGTTGATGTGGTGTAAAAGTCTTTCACAACATTCGTTTATTTCACACTGGTGTTGCGAATGAGCTTTAATGGATTCAAGCTTGAAAATACCCTCTAGCAAAGAAAAACACTGCCGACTAGTCTTAATCCATAGAAGTACATGTTGTTGAGGGGTTTAAGGGCATGATTTACCTCAGAACTGAGATTTCACGGCTCTGCATGTGTCACAAGATCTGCTCTGCTGAAAACCCACTACTTCAAATAAAAACACTTTGTAAGGCAGAGATGCCATTGCTTTTTCTTTACTGAGCTCTTGTCAGTATAAACACTGAAGTTGTGCAATATAAAGTTAGCCCTCTATAACACTTGGCTTCTGGGTCGAAGTCCATGTCTGAGCAGTGTTTTCACTGTCACTTATCAAACATAGACTGCAGCTCACCATTTTTTATTTGCACAAACACTGCTTTAAATTTCACATCAACTTTATAAAGCTGAGATAAATATGAAGAGAAGGGTAAAGAACTTGTGCAGATTGGATCATAGATGATTTTAAGTTGTGCACCTGCTGCGTTCACTTACTTTTTTTGCTGCAACCCTCCTACACACAGCACATCCCAAAACATGTGTTGCCTTATTTTAAAAAAAATTGCTTTCTCACCAGATGCATTGTTGTGCGGAATCCAGCATCCAGCATCATCAGCTTCCACTGCTCCTGGATGCTATCAGGCAGCGGGATGTAAACATAATAAGCGACAGACACAGTTAACAAGACAGTGACGACAACCGGCAGCAGCCTCATCCTGACTCCCTCAGTGACAGACGATGATCCACAGGCTGCAGATCACACTCTGATTACTCAGTTATAAGTACTAGGTATTACTATGAAGGACCACTAAGCGTGAAATGAACCACTTCCGTTTAAAGTCTTCAAAATAAAACATTTCATGCGTTTCAATATCACCACCGGATGTTTTAAAATACAAATCAATTAAAAAGTAATATCTAAAACGTTTCAAAATAAGTAGCCTGATGACTGTCTACTAGGGCTAAATGTACCCTGTATCAAACAACCTATATGAACATTTTAGTACAGGCTTTTATTTCTTTATTCTTTGGCTGCTGGTTTTAAACTTGTTTTTTAAATGTTTTAAAATATTCCCTGCTTTAACAAATAGAAAGATAAACGCATTGATTTTGATGGACTTCATATGAATACGAACTGACATCTGAGAAATTAAGTTTTTTTTTGTGTGTCCGCAGTTGGATCAGCACATTGTAATACACATCTTTGACCACGGAGAGGCACTATAGAGCTGCAGACTTAAAGTGAATGACTGCACACATTATACCTCACTGCTCTGACATTTTCAAGTGAAATGTTATCCCTGAAATGAGTTTGCTTTAAGAATAAAATGTTGGTTGCAATATTTTGTAAATTAAAAAAAAAAAAAAAAAACACTAACTATTTTTAATCTTTGAGAAAACAGATCATGATTCTGTACAGTGATGTCACACACAGCTCAAGTTGGACACTGCAAATTAAATACATATTTAGTCAATTTTGAAATCAAGGTTTCAGACTTTTTGTTTCTCAAGAGTAAAATGACAAAAGCAATAACACATGCAAATCTTTCCTTTCTAAACGAGGCCACAACAGCAGCTGGTTAGCTTAGCTTCATACCAAGAAATGAAACCGGTAAAACTGCAAGCATGTTTTTTTCTTATGGAAAACCAACGTCTTCCAGCACCTCTAAAGCTGACTGATCAACACATTGTATCTTGGTTGTTCAATCTGTACCACTACTCAAGTGTAAACATTGCGGTTTGATGGACTAGTTCATGTCAGAGACAAGTTGTTATACTGTACGGTTACTGTCCATGAGAACACAGAGCTGAAAACAACAAATCCAGAGGGAGTTTGACTACAATCTCTTTTTTAGGAAATCTTTATGCCACAATATATTTATATAGAGAACATTTGATTTTTGCTATAATCGTACTCAGAATGTATGTGTATGAAAAATTAAATTAAAAACATCCAGAATCCAAACTAACTACATAAAAACAGTAAGATAAGAAACTGTAATTTAACACACCTTGAAGTATTTTGGTTTTATTCCTGTATAGAAAGGGTTTGATATATACTCTCTGCTTGATGCAACTTAGAGATGGAGTATTTAGAGGATTAGCAGAAGGTGAACTGTGTTTCTCAGGGGGTTTAAAATATATTTTTACATGTGTAGCATTCTGTTTTGTCTTACTAAACAATATCGAACATCCAAATTTGATGATGCAAGTCTGTAGTGTAAGTCAATGTACAGAAACAACTTTTCTTCATCATTGTGACTTTATGTATTTCATCATCAACATTCATCATCACATCAGATGGCAGAGACATTTGTGGTACATATAAAGAAATATAAAGAAAACGTGAAAAAATACACTCGAGTGCAAAACGATTTCAAGCCCTTTTAGATCTCCAGTGGGTGGATGAACTGAGAAACTATGATTCATTCATTTTTCATATGTTTCTGTATCCAAAACATTAAAATCACACCGTGTTTTATTCAGAGTAAATTAGGGGCATGATGACATGTTACCTTTAAGTTCCAAAGTGATTATCAAATGTACTGAAACTCAAAGGTGATAGTGCATTTGGTCATAGATTTTCAAGTCCTTGAGGAAAGACATCCCCTTCTCATCCCGTCTCTGTTGAAATAACATTTGATGCATCAAACCACGTTTCATATTCTTTAAGCACTGACTGTATATTTACAAAACATTACTTAGTAGATCATATAATAACTGTTTAAACCTCTGCTTTAATGAACCTTTCATTAGGTTTGAATCTTGACCATTACTCAGTGTAAGTACAACACAAGCAAAGATCTGGAAAGGAGGAAACACCATCAGTAAGAGCAAATGAACAGCTTTAAGTCCGATCGGACACACAGGTGCTGACAGGCACTGCACAGAGGGAAAGCACAACATCGACCACTGTTCTTGAGAGTTCTAATCAGCATCAAAACCATCCTAAAATTGCCATGATCGAACAAACTCTTCATCATCAATAATCTCATTAAGGTCGTAGGTGTTCATGAAAGAGCTGGGTCTTTAGCTTTTTCTTAAAGGTGCAGAGGGACTCTGCAGGTCAATGGAGTTTGGAAGTGTGTTCCACCACCGGGGGCGACAGAGGAGAATCGTCTTGTTAGAGACTTAGGACCCTGTTGTAAAGGTTGGATCAGACGCCTTTCATTGACAGAGCGTAGTGGGCGGGGGGAGTGTAGACCTGGATGTGAGAGTTTAGGTAAGCTTAGAGACTTCCTCCTCGATCAGAGGGGATAATGAGGTAAGTGAGGCACTTTTGGTTGCTGCCTTAGGGCTGAGTTGGTCAGGTTCAGAAAACTGGTGACTGATCGCTGCAACCTTTTCTGTAAAATATGAGGCAAACATGTCTGGTGTGAGTGAAGGGTGGTAATATGTAGTCTTAGCCATTTTTCAGTGAGCCGTGGACTAGGGGTGGGTTTTGCGAGTGGATTTGGACACTAGAGGGCAGAGTTTGTTCAGAGATGAGGCCAGTGTGGAGCAGAATGTGTCTGTAGCCTCATCAAGAGAGTGTGGCACAATCCTTATGGGCAGGCATGGCAGCCAAGACCTCGTCAGACAGCTGAGTTGGTTTAAGGGATCGAATGTTTCGATGGAATGAAACCATTTGTGGCGGTGCCTGAGGGAGTTCTGGTAAGGAGATTGTGAATTGAATGAAAAAGAGGTCAGAGAGATGCAGAGGGGTGACAGTCAGGTTGGCTGTCGAGCAGTTCCGAGTCAGGCTCAAATCAAGAGTGTTGCCTGCTCTGTGGGTAGGAGGAGTTAGTGCCTGCTTGAGGTCAAATGAGAAAAGGAGAGCGAGGAAGTCTGTTTCCTGGGCTCTTGTGAATATAATTGAAACTGCATTGTCAAAGTATTTCTATGCATTTAGTTTGATTTTTCCCCCAGAAGCTCACAATGTTAGTCAGAAGGTTAGATATATTTCACCTTTTCCATTTCAGACCTTCAGTTATCTTTACACATCATGTTCATACTTTCTAAGCTGGTATGCATCTGCAAGTACACGAGGGCCCTGAGCTTAGATTTAATGTCCTTATACAAAGAGAGGATGTACAAGTCTGTGATTCATAAAGCTAGGACTTGTTCATTTGGTATCTCCAAACACACGAGTGCATGCGACACAAAAAAAACACTCATTCACTCTCTTGCTCGCACATATTCACACACCTACAAGTTGTTTTTGAGCCAGTCGATGTAATCCCTGGTCGCCCTCCTCCCTACATCAAAATCCAGAGGCCAGGTTATAAAGCTGAAACACCCGTGGAAGCCGTCCTCATAGTGGTGGTTGGTGACTGTCACTCCTGCATCCTGCAGGCGCCGCGCGTACATCATGCCGTCATCCCTCAACACGTCGTGCTCGCATGTAAGCACGTACGCCCGGGGGCATTTAGCCAAAACCTCTGGGCCAGCTAACAGTGGCGATGATCTCACATCCAGCATCTCAGGCACCTCTTTCACAGCCCCCTGAGATCCCTTTTCCACAATCACAGCCTTGTAGTTCTTTTTGTATTTCGGGTGAAGGAGGACGGTCCAGTCCAGCCGTGCCCTCAGCTCAGGGTCGATGTGTGTGTGTTGTAAGGAGCTGTGATTGTTTGTTATAAACTGGGGAACAAGAGAGAGGTCAACACCAAGGTACTGCAGCCAGAGGCGGATGGCTAAGGACCGGTAGACGATAGGCATATGTTCGTTCTGCAGGTAGGAGGGCGTATTGAAGTCCAGAGCTTGGACTGCTGGGTAGATCAATGCCTGGACGCTGAACTTTACACTCAAAGTGTCATCCATCGCAATCTGGGTAAATAGAAAAACATAACAAGAACCTAATTAAACATCACATCACGTTACAAGGACTTAAGTTTTAAATGTCATCAAAGGACCTGAAATTGGGGGGAAAGTCATTCATGATCCGTTAACACATTGTGATTCCACAACAGTGCCATAGGGAAGTTTCGCCGTCATGTAATATCAGTGTAAACTCACAGCATGAGCTCCACAGCCACAGTCACACACACACACTGCTCTGTTCCGTCCAGTCGGCTCCAATGTGACACACATTGCCTTAAAAATCACTTTCTGTTCTCTTACCTTTCTAGATCATTGACCTCGCAGAGTACAGGCCAAGGTCCTTAAAGTTATAGAAGTAGTACGGGAGGCAAAGCCTTCAACTATCAGGCCCCTCTCCTTTGAAATCATCATCTATCACTTTGGGTCAGACTGTCACCTTCTCTACATTTAAGAGAACATTTAAAACTTTCAAATTGGATTAAGCTTATAGTGAAGGCTGGCTCGTGCTAACTAGCTCCTTGTTACGCTAACAGGCTTAGACTGCCAGGTCTATGTACAGTGAATAATATTACAAAGAGTATCTGTTCCAAACACGATGAGAAACTTGTGTTGTGAATGGTCGCTCTAAAAAAATGGAGTAAATGATAAATCTCCTGCTCTTTAATATACAGTCTGTTCTGCACACATTCCTACGATGGCGTGTGTTAACGTACCTCCTGAGAGACGGCAGCTGCCAGGTTTCCTCCTGCGCTGTCTCCTGACACAGCCACACGATCGGGGTCGATGGCATACCTAGACAAGACCTCCTCGGACAGGAAGTGCTTGGCAGCAGTAAGGCAGTCTAAATACGGCACTGGGAAGTGCACCTCTGGATACAGACGATACCTGATACACAGACATTGGATGTAATAGATACTGACGTTTCAGAAAGCATTGGGTATTTGATTATGGACACTTTTTCTACATTTAAAGTTATTTACTAAACCTGTAAACACACTGGTATAATATCAAGAGCAAAGCTACACAACGAGGATTATCTGTATCAACACACATGCTTACATTGTCCAGTGTGTCATCCCCCCTCCTGTCCAGAAGAGGGCTTTATAAAGTCCGTCTCAGTAAGTATGTATTTATTTATTTATTTTTTGTTGCTTTGAGCAGAAAAGTGTTGAAACACTGGATCGGTGTTGCAGGAGGAGACACACTTACTCAACAGAGACCACAACAGCATTGAGCTCGTCAGACACCATCCTGTTGACCTTATCATAAGACGTCTCCTCTGAGGAAATGCAAGAGGGATGAAGGAGAGTGGATAAAGGGAAGTGAACAAACAATATGTTGTATCTGAATGATGCAGAAATACTTTAAATCTACAAATATAAAGCTTTACTGAGCATTCAAAGTAGCATTTATAACACATTGAATTAAAGAAGAGGTCTCTTATTGTGCTGCTCACTCTTAGTGATCTATTATATCTAACAGTGTCTGTACTCACTCACACTGCCGAAGGCCCAGCCTCCTCCATGGAAGAACATCAGCCCTCTCCTCAGATGTCCCTCCCCTCCAGCAGGGGGCTCGTACAAACGGACCGGGATGCCGGCAAAGGTGATGTCGCTGACTTTCACTCCAGGCGCGCCCCCTCGGTCGGGCTCAGAACTGGCCATACCATTTACCATGCTCTGGAAACCCTCTACGCTCTGCCTGATAGACGTGATGTAGTGTTCGGAGGCCAGCGGATCCATCCAATGGGACTAAAATGGAAGAAAACGAAGTGTGCAACCTTAAGGGGAGTTTCTCCTTGAAAGAATTAAGACAATCGATGATGGTGGGTGGGTGTGATTGTGTTTTCAAACATGTACGCAAAACTGTGCTGAATGCATGAACGCAAGTAGACAATTCTTTTCACCCTGACTGAACCTTTACCCGAGTAAAATTTCAGCGTGAAGTCGGGGGGTGAGCTGATGTGTATTCAGACATATTCCTGAATATTTCCCGGTGTGTTCACAGATCCACTCATCCATCTGAGTGGATCTGCTACTCGCCAAAATGTTACTGGGGGGATGGAAGGAAAAAGTCCAGGTGGAATTTTTTTTTTGTTGGAACACATGATGCTCAACCCTAAAACGCCAGGGACTTCTTAGGAGTTTTGTGCATGTGTGAAACTACCACCAGACCTTTGTCCCTCTGCACTGTGTCTTAATGATACGTCATATAACTTTTTCACTCAGACACACAAACATCTCGGACTGTATCCAAAGTTTGACAAAGGCCAGCAGACACAGCAGCTTGGCACAATGCAGCTTGATTGTGTCACAATTTTAGCAATGTGATGAGATATTTGAATTTAGAATTTTAGGTGGGTGCAACTTTTTCCATCCATATATCCATTCTAAAACCCAAATTTAGGATATCTACAGATTATTAGTACTGACCTATTACCTGCAGACCAGTCAGACTTAATTTAATCTTAATTTACGGGATCTATTTTCCAATATTTGAAGAAGAAAGATACACTATAATATTGAATGTAATGATAATAAACTCTCTAAATGCTGCTTTGTAACATGTTGGCATTCGAGGAAACAGAGGCACACTTTCAAAAGTGAACCGTTGATGTGGTGTAAAAGTCTTTCACAACATTCGTTTATTTCACACTGGTGTTGCGAATGAGCTTTAATGGATTCAAGCTTGAAAATACCCTCTAGCGAAGAAAAACACTGTCGACTAGTCTTAATCCATAGAAGTACATGTTGTTGAGGGGTTTAAGGGCATGATTTACCTCAGAACTGAGATTTCACGGCTCTGCATGTGTCACAAGATCTGCTCTGCTGAAAACCCACTACTTCAAATAAAAACACTTTGTAAGGCAGAGATGCCATTGCTTTTTCTTTACTGAGATCTTGTCAGTATAAACACTGAAGTTGTGCAATGTGAAGTTAGCCCTCTATAACACTTGGCTTCTGGGTCGAAGTCCATGTCTGAGCAGTGTTATCACTGTCACTTATCAGACATAGACTGCAGCTCACCTTTTTTTATTTGCACAAACACTGCTTTAAATTTCACATCAACTTTTTAAAGCTGAGATAAATATGAAGAGAAGGGTAAAGAACTTGTGCAGATTGGATCATAGATGATTTTAAGTTGTGCACCTGCTGCGTTCACTTACTTTTTTGCTGCAACCCTCCTACACACAGCACATCCCAAAACATGTGTTACCTTATTTCTTTTTAAATTGCTTTCTCACCAGATGCATCATTGCACGTATTACAGCATCCAGCATCATCAGCTTCCACTGCTCCTGGATGCTATCAGGCAGCGGGATGTAAACATAATAAGCGACAGACACCGTTAAGAAGACAGTGACGACAACCGGCAGCAGCCTCATCCTGACTCCCTCAGTGACAGATGATGATCCACAGGCTGCAGATCACACTCTGATTACTCAATAATAAGTACTAGGTATTACTATGAAGCATGAAATGAACCACTTCCGTTTAAAGTTTTCAAAATAAAACCTTTATTTGCATGCATTTCAGTATGGTGTTTGGAATTCAAAAATTACAAAAAAGTAAATTATAACTTATAAGTTTTAGAATAGCCTAATGACTGTCTAGGGCTAAAGTTATCCTATATCAAACAACCTTTGGGACCATTTTCGTAGGCTTTTTTTCCTTTAGGTTTTTTTTTTAAAACAATATTTTTGTAGAAGCCTATCTCCTTCAAAAACTGCTTTAAAAAAAAAAAAAAGATAAACGTATTGATTCTGAAGGACTTCAGACGAATACGAATTTGGGATATGACGTTTTTGACATTGAAAGAAAATCAGCACATTATAATACATATTTGTGACCACGGGGAGGCACCACTGAGCTGCAGACTTTAGTGAATGACTGCACCTTATATTAATAATCTATGTATGCTACATGTCGGTAGTTTGCAATGTTTTGTTTATTTAAAAAAAAACATATTTACTCATGTACATATTTACTTTTTTAATCTTTGAGAAAACAGAAAAGAAACCTGCTTACCATTTAGGTAATGAGATAGGCAAGTGGGACAAAAATAAAAGTAGAATAATTTCACCTCTTCTGCAACAGACACTTGTTGCAACTCCTATTTGACAATTTCCCTAACAATGTAATTCTTCTTCTTCCATGCACCTCCCATGAATGTAAGAATATAGAAACCATGTTTTCTGTACAAAGTATGTTAATCCTTCTTAAATAAATTCATAGGTTAAATAAGAACGGGTGACATTGAGTTTTTCCACTTTGACTAAAATGTCAGAGTTTGTGACATTGATCTGGTGTGAGTTTATAGTCCTGTTTTTCCAGTAAAGTTCTGTTTGCATGTCTTTTTATGTGCACACATCAATACTGCAGTGAGAGTCTTACAGTAAGGGATTTGTGCTGCAAGTTGTTGGAGAGGTATTGGACTCATCATGACCGCTAACAGACTATTGATCCATCTGCTTTCCTACTTTTCTGTCTTTCCTGCTATTTTTAGACGAAAAAGCCAAGCTTGTCTTTATTTGTTTGGTGTGGTGATCAATACTAACAGTGAATTCAGGGGAAGTCCAGGCTCATACTGGAGTTTATTTGACACACGCTTAAGAAAATACTTTCAAACTGATTACAGCAAAAGGAATACTACCAATTTTTTGGTATTCAAGGTTAATTACAGACAGAACAGTGGATAAGCTGACCAGAAATCAGAATCAGAAATACTTTATTTATTCCAGGGGGAAATTCAGTAAACAAGAGATAGAAAAGTCAGCAGCTTCTGTAAATCAAACAAAGGATGTTGGAAAACACACGGCTTGCACCTCAGACCAATAAAAGGCAAAGTGACACCCCGTGATGGACGTTAGAGATTGTTCCAACTCGAGGTCTAAGTCACTGTAAGGCACGCAGCAGCACAGTAACATCAATACTGCCATGGCTTAAAGGGGCAAACAGTGTCAGTGTCACCTTCTCACTCTCTCTCTCTCTCTCTCTCTCTCTCTCTCCCTCTCTCACTGGGCTATTTATCGCCCTCCCCCTTCCCACGGTTTGACTTCCAAATGGACACTATCCGTCCCTGATGGCCCACTGTGAGAATGTAAACAAACATCAGAGCTGATGAGGATCTGACCCCTCTGCTGTGCTGGTTTTCCAAAACAAAGCAGCCAGACCACCAGACCGTATCAGATTAGCCTTCTGGGAGACCAAGAGGTGGCTGCAGGTCACAGTCTTTACTAGAAAAGAAGTCTAAGGGATAATTGAGGTCAAAAATTGACATATATTGAACAAATAAACATGAAGCAAAGTCGTTTGTGCAGTTCAGCTACAGTGATGTCACAAACAGCTCAGATGACGTCAATTTTGAAAATCAAGCTTCCACCATTTTTTGTTTCTTAAGATTTAGATGACAAGATCAGTAACACGTGCGAGTGTTTCTTTTCTAAACATGGCCACAACAGCAGCTGGTTAGCTTAGCTTCACATCAAGAAATCAAACAGCTATAGCACGGATTTGTCCAAAGGGAAACCAAGGTTTTACGTCACACTCTTTTTAGGAAGTATTTATGTCACAATTTATTTTCATAGAGTACATTTGATTTTTGCAAAATTTAGTATTCATAATTTAAGTACTTTGGTTTTATTCCCTTGTAGAAAGGGGTTGATATATATACTCTCTGCTGGAGGCAACTTAGAGGAGGAGTATTTAGAGGATTAGCAGAAGGTGAATTGTGTTGCGGTTTAAAAGATTTTCTGCATATAGTTTCCTGCTGTTTTTTTTTTAACTGCCATTTGCAACCAATGTGCTTAAAGCAGAGCATGCTGGTGTTACTCGTGATGACGCATGAAACGGCAAACTTTTTTGCAGTCATCATAAAATCCTAAATCCTAGAGGGAGGTGGTGGTGGTGGTGGTGGTGGTGGTGGTGGGGGGGGTCGTCGTTTCACTCTCGAAATATCACTTTAAGTCACACACAGATGCCATACTTGCTCTCTTTCCAGAAAGCCGTCTAAATGAGAGCGTCAGCAGAAAGCTTATATTGTAAACGTTAATGTGATATATGTGTTACAGTGTGTGTGTGTGTGTGTGTGTGTGTGTGTGTGTGTGTGTGTGTGTGTGGTGTAAGGAGTGTGCATCAAAATTCCCTCTTCCTGCCCCCCCCCCTCCTGTGTGTTGGTCTGGCGTCTCCCTGCAGTCTGTGGTATGGAGGGCAGAGAGAGGGCCTCTCTTGTGTCGTTGACTGGAATTACACTTCTGGTGATTTAACATGACTAAAGCCATGAAGCAGAAATGAAGGTTTTCCATTTCATACAGTCCTGCTTTTACATGAGCTCGAGTATGAATTACTGGGCATATTAAATGGGAAATTAAACCAATAAAACAACCACTTGAACTCATTCCAATGCGTGCCGTGTTCTGATTTCATGGTCACACTTAAAGCGGTGATAATTTGAAAAGGGTCTGGTTGAAAAGAAGCAAAAGTTGTGTTTTTATCTCCTGAGATGATCAAAAGATCAAAGGCCCATTAACGCAGCCAGGACATGTTTCATCCTTTTTGAATTTAAATCAGTTTTAACCACGACTAAAACATCTTAACACAATTACTTGACATTAAGATACAATCACAAATGTCCTCTTTCCAAATTTCTATAACAAAGGATTCTAGCAAGTTTAAATGGCATAAATGGAAAAAAAGTCATTGGGAATATAGAGATGCAAGTTCCCTTTAGATTTCATGATTCTGCAGGTTTTGTTCTGCATATATGTTAAATGTTCATTCAAAAGCTAAGTGGACCTGAATTCAGATTGACTACAGCTACCGCCTGTGAAGGAGACACTACTCATCACTGTTTGTGTCGACAGGAAACGAGTCCTTGACACTGAAAAGAAAGATGTCAGTTTGGTAGATTATTCTCTCCTCTCATGCAGCAGCAGCTCTGGTGGAATCAATTAATCAATGGGGTAAAGTTCACTTACTCACATGCTCTAATGTTATGCGTCTTTAGACTTCGATTCAAAATACTCAGGAAACCGTTTAATGTAAATCCATTTCCTTCTATTTTAGACGGTTAAATAGTTACTTCTTGGATGACACATATAACTGATCATTATCTGAGCAAATAAAGTCAGTATAATGAGCTTAAAATTGTATAATCTATAAAAGTGTTTGATGTGATTCCTCTCTACGAAATCATATATTTACATTTTTAATATGTGTAATAATAAAACACTGACAGCAGAATTTGAAAGCACACTGATGGAATTCACATGTGGTCCCCTGAAATGTCTAATTATTGATCAATAAAAAATATATCGTAGCATTCTTTGCTGAATTAGGACTGAATAAAGACGTTATCCAGGCAAGAGTAGGCTACTGGAAGGCCATAGGCCATGCTAAAAGTGAACACCAGCGCCCCTAAACTAAGCACAATTTGAGTAAGTTTTCCACCACTGTTCTGAACAGGCTCAACCTTCTTGGATCAAAACATTCATACAACTGTGTCTGTGTTATGAATCAGGCATGTCCACATAGTCATGAACTCTGTGTGACACAGGAAACATTACAGACTTCTTTGGCTGTTAGGATCGGTGATTTAATCTTATAGCTGGTCTTAGACTGACCTACATTTGGGATATGGAGTCAACACATTCAGTGTTTGTGCATGTTGACACATTAGACGCACACAATCCCCACACAGACAGTGACAATAATGTATTGGGGTATGTAGGAATGTCATGGACAGAGGGTGAGTCGGTATGCTTCAGCTTCGACACAGACTCTATTTCTGAAATGACAAACAACAACCTGTTGTTTTTCTGCCCTTTGCAGAGCTAGATGTCACGTCGAAAAAGAACAGGAACAGAAGCTGGAATATATTTCACTCTGCTTTTTTTTTTTTGTTGGTGCAAGATCTTCAGGTACATACTGTTTCATAATTAGCTGAAGGATATCTGCTCTGCTGTTAAAGAAACTAAGCAAGGTTGAATTTTAATTCGTACACAGCATTTGGCTCGTTTGTCCGTAATCTTCCTGTTTCCAAACAAGTGCAGCAACAGACTCATGCTGTGACGTTGCTGATCCATTTCAGAGTATCATTAACGCAAGGAATAAGATTGTATATATCATCTTAATGTAATGTGTCTGTTGGCTCAGTAAGCATGTGTGTATGTAATTATCTGCAACAGAAAATAACTGATAGGAACATCTGCTACATGTACACATAACAGTTTAGATGAACTGGCCTGCAGCTTTCTTCCACTGCCATCATGGAACTGAGGATGTGAAACCACTAAAAACAACAACAACAAAAAAAACATGGGGTTTCTGGTAAAATTAAGTTTTTGTTTGAATCTTTTTACCCCCAGAACCTCTGATTATTCACACTGCGGCAGTGGAAGCAACTTGACAATCACAGGTTGTCATGTGCAAAAGCAGTTGG